GTCCCGACTGGGGCAGGGTGGGCTGTACAGTTACATAGCTCTGCACGGCCAAGCCCGTCTGATGTGTGACTTCACCAGGTAGTGATGACAGGGCCCTGGCTCTGACCTCGAACATGGCAGCGTTGGCCAGGAATGAAAGGCATAAAGGAGCTCTCCCCTGCCCACCTTGTCCCCCCTGCCCCAGTGGCCGGCTTTATCCCAATGAAACCTGTGGCGTTAGACACCAGGTCAGATAACGCCTCCCGCTGGGCCTGTTCCTGTGACACCAGTCACCAGGTGCTAGAACAAGGCTGGGCAAACATTTTGGCGTGAGGGCCACATCTGGGTATGGAAATTGTATGGCAGGCCATGAATGCTCATGAAATGGGGGGTTGGGGTGTGGGAGGGGGTGAGGGCTCCAGCTGGGGGTGTGGGCTCTGGGGTGGGGCTGGGGATGAGGGGTTTGGGGTGCAGGAGGGTGCGCCAGGCTGGGACCAAGGGGTTTGGAGGGCAGGAGGGGGATCAGGGCTGGAGCAGGGGAATGGGTCGCAGGAGGACATCAGGGGTGCAGGCTCCGGGCGGCACTTATCTCAAGCAGCTCCTGGAAGCAGCTGCATGTTCCCCCTTGGCCGCGGGAGCTGCAGAGTGCACTTGTGGCGGGGGCAGTGTGCAGAGCCCCCTGGCTGCCCCTACACGTAGGAGCTGGATGGGGGATATGCCGCTGCTTCTGGGAGCCACGGCATGTGTAAAGCGGGGCAAGCCCCTGAACCTGCTCCCCGGTGGGAGCTCGAGGGCCGGATTAAAAGATTTGACGGGCTGGATGCAGCCCCCGGACTGTACTTTGCCCACCCTGTGCTAGAACCTCGGTCGTTGAGAGAAATAATCCACGTGGGACTGAGTTTTGCTGCTTTTTGTGTATATTTCTCTGGGACACCCGATGAAGCAATGCTACCTAGTCCTTCCTCTGGGGCTATGGGCCAGCCTCAAGGGGGAGAGCAACCTGGTCACTGGTCGGTTCAATGTTCAACAACCGCAGCTTGTGCTCATCATAAAGATCCTCTGTGGGCTCTGGCTGCAGGGCCAGTCTGGCGGAAGGAATTGATTATCTCTTCACTGATTTGATTCCTTTGATTGGTTTAACCCAGAGTGGGTAATTCAGGTGACAGGTGAGAGCCTGAAGTTGATTCACTCACCCTGGAGAAAGGCCAGGGGACCGGGGTTTTCCCTGCATTTTTCCTGCTTCTTTAAAGAAGAAACACAAGATGCAACTAAGATCACTGAATCAAAGCACAATGTGGAAATGTTCCCACAGCCCCCAACCAGGCCGCTGCTCAAGCCCACTGGAAGGAGAAGCACAGAAGCGCAGCTTGGCTTCAAGCTGCCCCAGGGCAGGCAGGCGAAGCGGCTGTTTGCACCCGGGAGCTTGCTCTTGCTTGAAGCCAGGCTCAGGTGCCCCAGTTCAACTGGGGGGTTTGCAGCAGCCTTGCCTGCCTGGGCCAGGGGTTTGCATTGGTGCTGCTATGCCGAGGGCTGAGGGGAGGGCAAACCTCCACGGGAGGCCAGGCCGCAGTCTGGCTGGGTGAGGCCTCCCCGGGCCAGGGGCCAGCGTGAGGCCTATGTGCTGCCCAAATCCCACATAAGCCCCGAGGCCTGGAGAGACTCCGGCTCGAGGTTTAGGGGATCGTACAGGGTGCACAGGCCTTGGGTTGGCCCCTGCCGCAGCGGCCTGGTGGCCTGATCCCCGTCAGGCTCAGGTGTGCTCAGCCGGGAGCAAGGCAGAATGAGCCAGGTGGGGACCTCCATCAGCCTTGGCCCAGCCCGTGTGTTCCTGGAGCCCCCTCTTGTGGCCATAACGTGCGGTGCTTCCTTCCACTTTCCCACCACGAGCCGAGCGCTCAGACCAGGACTCGGGCGGGTGCCCCAGGTGGGGTGCTCAGACCAGGACTCGGGCGGGTGCCCCGGGCGGGTGCTCAGACCAGGACTCGGGCAGGTGCCCCGGGCAGGTGCTCAGACCAGGACTCGGGTGGGTGCCCCAGGCGGGTGCTCAGACCAGGACTTGGGCAGGTGCCCCGGGCAGGTGCTCAGACCAGGACTCGGGGGTGGGCGCCCCAGGCGGGTGCTCAGACCAGGACTTGGGCAGGTGCCCCGGGCAGGTGCTCAGACCAGGACTCGGGGGTGGGCGCCCCAGGCGGGTGCTCAGACCAGGACTCGGGGGTGGGCGCCCCAGGCGGGTGCTCAGACCAGGACTCGGGGGTGGGCGACCAGGGCGGGCGCTCAGACTGTAGCATTGGCCCCATCTCCTGCATCGGCAGGGCAGAAAGAGAGGCACAAACCCAGCCAGGCCTGAGCTCCCAGGGAGATGCGCCCGCCCATGCCTGGAGTCTGATGAGCTCCCCCTGCCCTTGATGAGATGGGCAGATGGTCTCTGCTTGGCGCCAGCTGACTCCCTTCCTGAGGGCAGAGCTGGGAGCTGCGTCTGTGAACAGGAGGCCTGTGTTACCCCTGCAGGGAATGGGGCAGAGGAGCCCAAGGGCCAGGCTGTGGCTGACCCTCTCCTGGTGCCCCCAGGGTAAGGTGTACTGGGCATAATTAGGGGGGAGAGCTGTGGGCTGGGGACCTGCTCATACCTGTTACCACCCCTGTAATCTGAGCCAGCAGGAGGGCAGCATTCTCCACCCACAGCAAAGGAACAGGCTAAGTGGGCTGTGGGAATTGTTTACATCCCCTGTGGCTGGTCAGCCGGAGGGACCCGCCGCATTGCACAGGCCGTCCCCGCAGCACTAGGAAAGGGTGACGGGCATTAGGGGGCCTTGCTGAGGGCTGCAGCCCATAGAGCCTGGTGACACACCCAGTGTGCTGCCAGCTGCTTAGGGGGCTGGTGTTCCCCAGCACTCCCACACCCGCCCTGCAATGGGGTCAGCTGCCAGACGTCCCTCACACCGGGGTGGCCGGTGGCTCCGGCACTGGGGCTCCAGCCAGCTCCCGAAATGCACATTTGCCTGTAGCCCTCTCCAGTGCCAGGCGTCGCGCCCATGAGCAGAGCAGCCCTGCCAGCTGCAGGAGCTGTGCGGGCACCTCCTGCGGCACCGTGTGCAGGCCAGTGGGCAGCGGGCTCCGAAGCCAGAGCAGGACCTGACCAAGCTGCCTGGCAGCCCCTGCAGCGGGTGTGTGTGCGGGCACCCTGAGGGTGCCCCGCTGAGAAACGCAGCCCCACCGTGCCCGACTGAGAAACGTAACCCCCCCCGTGCCCCGCTGAGAAACGTAACCCCCCCACGTGCCCCGCTGAGAAACGCAGCCCCACCGTGCCCGACTGAGAAACGTAACCCCCCCATGTGCCCCACTGAGAAACGCAGCCCCCACATGCCCCGCTGAGAAATGCAGCCCCCTCCCCCATGCCCCGCTGAGAAACGCAGCCCCCCTCCACGTGCCCCACTGCGAAACACAGCTGCCTTGCCAAGTGCCCCGCTGAGAAACGCAGCCCCCCCACACATGTGCCGGGAAGAGCTGTTGACACGAGGGGTGACAGGGCCTGGGCCCCCTCAAGTGCAGTGAAATGAACAGGGCACCACAGGGCCCCAGCATTTGGCAAACAGGCCCAGTAACATGCCAGCCACTCCTCTGGGGTGGGGGCCACCCCTCATCCTCTGGGCACTAGGACCAAGGGGGGGGCCTTCCTCATCACCTTGGGGGAAAGCTGCAGGGAGGAGCCAGCCAGAGCCTGGAGCAGGGGCAGGATTGGCCAGAGCAGGGACCTTGGAGCACTTGCTGCACCTATGGAAGTCCAGGAGGCAGGGGAGGGGAAGGGGGTGCTGCCCTCCCCCAGCCTAGGGGAGGAGCTACTGGACCCCGGATTGAAATAAGGACTGGGGCCAACTGATGAATGGGAGGGTCAGGAGTGAGGCTCAGAGCTCCAAAAGCAGGATCCAGAGGGGGACACCGAACCCCGGACAGCTCCCACTGCTCCTCCCAGGGGTCTGCAGCTGTGAGCAGACTCTGCCCTGGGCTGATCAGCTGCGTGCTCCAGCCTTGCCCCTCCTAGGCAAAGCCACCCCCCGAGCGGGCTCGTGCCCCATCGCGTGGGTCACCCTGCCTGCGGACTGTATCCCTTCCCCCACCCTGTGTCTGGCCAGTGTCGCTTGGAAACCTCAGGGCAGGGCCTGGCGACTGTGTTTGCAGCACCTCGCACAACGGCCCTGGGCACCCGCCGCAATAAACATGCCTGATAATAATTCACTTGGGCTGCCACCCTGCTCCCTCCCAGCTCTTGCTCCAGGCCAGGCTGAGGCTGTTCCCCCAAGCGTGGGTCTGTGTGTGGGGAGGCGGGGATGGGGCCATTCCCCTGGGCTGGGCAGAGGGTTGGATGTATGGGTGGGGGTGGGGGATTCCCCTGGGCTGGGCAGAGGGGATGGAGGTACGGGGTGGGGAGGGGAAACGGGGGGATTCCCCTGGGCTGGGCAGAGGGGATGGAGGTATGGGGTGGGGAGGGGAAACGGGGGCATTCCCCTGGGCTGGGCAGAGGAGATGGAGGTACGGGGTGGGGAGGGGAAACGGGGGCATTCCCCTGGGCTGGGCAGAGGGGATGGAGGTATGGGGTGGGGAGGGGAAACGGGGGCATTCCCCTGGGCTGGGCAGAGGGGATGGAGGTACGGGGTGGGGAAACGGGGGCATTCCCCTGGGCTGGGTAGAGGAGATGGAGGTACGGGGTGGGGAGGGGAAATGGGGGATTCCCCTGGGCTGGGCAGAGGAGATGGAGGTACGGGGTGGGGAGGGGAAACGGGGGCATTCCCCTGGGCTGGGCAGAGGGGATGGAGGTACGGGGGTGGGGGGACGGCTGGGTTGGGCAGGACGAGGCTGCCCCAGAGGCCTGCTGGAGCCTGCAGCACAAACTCTTCCCGAAATCCAGCTCACCATGCAGACTTTGCCCCTGCTGAAGGTCGGGGTGGGGGCATGGGGAAGCCACCCCAGGGCCCAGCCAGCCAGCCAGAGGGAGGCTCTCACTGGGCCAGCAGACAGCCAGAGCCATGCGCTGCTCCACTCTCAGCCTCCTCTTCCTCCTCACGCAGGTAGGGGGATCCCTCGCCCCCAGGGACTGGGGGCGGGGAGGGTCCAACACAGCGAGCGGGGCGGGGGGAAGGGGAGTGTGGATGGCAGAGCAGGCAGTGTCCAGACTCCAGCGGGAGTGCGTGGGTCCTGGGGCGGGCAGGGGGATCACAGGGCCTGGCGGGGCAGGCAGATCTGGGAGGTGCGAAGAGCCTGCGGGCCCTGGGGGGCATGGGATGGGGTGGGCTTGTTGGTGGGGGATGGGGAAGGGGAGCAGACATTGGCAGGGCAGGGGGCAGAGCGTGGGATCAAGGGAAGGTGGCACAGCCCAGGGGGGTCCATCCCTCTGCCCATGGCTGCCCGACGGCTGCAGCCTGCTCTCAGAGAAGCTGCCCATGCCCTTCCTGAGCCCCACCTGTCCTGGAAGGGGAGGGAGCATTGTACCTAGGGTCAGCTGCTTTGGAAGAGGCCTGTCCTGGCCCCTGGGTGCCGTTGTGGTGGGCTGGGTGCTGCTGCCCATGGTTGTGGGCCGTGGACGGCCACGGGGGGGTGTTGGGAACCTGCACTGAACAGGCTGCTGCTGGCAACTCCAGCCCTGCTCCGGAGTGGCCTGTGCCAGGGGCTGGACGTTGCCCTGGCCTCAGTGCGTGCCCAGCCTTGGCTCCTGTGGTATGCTGGGGCATCTGGTTCCAGGACAGGGCTCTGAGCCCCCTCTCATCGAAGGCAGCACCTGGGCTTTCCGGCCAGTTTCCAGGAGCTGCGAAGGAGAGAGCAGCCACCGAGGGAGCGTAGGCTGGTGGGAGCCCCGCAGGGAGCCTGCTGCCCCCGGCCCTGCAGAGCAGCCCCAGGGACACTAACCAGCGTCTCCCACCCACTCAGGCTGGCCGCAGCAGCAGGATGCCCAGGCTAGAGCCCTGCACTGGCTCCAGCAGCCCTGATGGGGCATTTCCACATCCAGTCCCAGGATCCCTGGTCGGGATCAGCAGTGAAAACCCTGCAACCCCTCCAGACACCTAGCAACAGGCAGTGGGACAGCACCACTTCCCAGGCAAAACACACCTCCTCCTTTGGCTGTTTGGGGTTCCTGGCGCCTCCCCAGTTCCCTGCCTAGCAGCTGTCTCTGCCCCTGCAGGACTTCCTCCCCTGCCTTCAGGCAGATGGGCTGACGGTCCCAAAGGCCAGCCCTGGCCGGAAGAGGCAGAAGAGGGACTGGGTCATCCCTCCAATCAACTGCCCTGAGAATGAGAGGGGACCCTTCCCCAAGCTGCTGGCTCAGGTATGGGAGGCCTTTGGCAGTGTGGTGGGTGGTGGCCCAGCACTAGCTGCCTGCCAAGGTGTGTACGGGGAGCTGTGGGGAATTTATACTGCCAAATTGAGTACAGCTCCATGTATAATGTCTTATGTAAATCACTAGTGTGCTAATTTGCATAATATAACATAATTTGCGTGTATTATAAACAGCACCTTAAGCAGAATTGTGTGCTGATGGCAAAGGCGTCTGCCCATTTGACAGCTCTGATGTAAGATGCCCTGGTTCTCCTTCAGGGTGGCCACAAGGCGAGCGTCCTCTCCCCATGTTAACTTGCTGACCTGCCTCACCCTAACTGGGGGGAGGGCTTCCTCTGGGGCAACTGGGTAGGGCCTCATTGATGTTTGGGGTGGTAAGTGTCATTTCTCCTCTTCTATGCTCCAGTACATCCCTTTTCAGACCCTGCCCCTTTCTTAACCTTCTATTTATCCCTTACTGCCCCCCACCCGTGTGGCTCAGGCCCCATGTACAATAGTGGCTTCTGGTGGTCCCAACTCAGCCAAAGGTGAGAGATCCCAGCAGAGGCAGCAGGGCTGCCATGGGCGTCCCCCAAGATGCTGGTGCTGCTTGGTGAAAAAGGGGCAGTGTCCAGGAATCTACAAGGGGCAGAAGGGTTTGAGAGGGGAGGGACTTGGGGGGAAGTGAGGCAAGTGGGGAGCAGCCTGGATGGGAGCAGTTCCTTGCAGGTCCTTGACAGATGGGGAGGGGAGCACAGGCTGGGGTGGCCCCCGTGCTCAGAATCCCCCGGCTGACCCGCCCCGTTCTCTGGCACCAGATCAAATCCAACATCCCCACCAAGGTTTTCTACAGCATCACGGGGCAGGGCGCAGACGAGCCCCCTGAGGGCGTCTTCGTCATCGAAAGGGAGGCGGGGCGGCTAAAGGTGACAAAGCCGCTGGACAGAGAAGACATCAGCAACTACATGGTGAGTCCCTGGGTGCCAAGGATGGAGAAGGGGCATGTTCTCAGGGGCTGATGGAGCTTGGAGGCAGCTGGGACAGGGCCCGAGGCTCCGATAAACTGGGTCTCACTCCGTTTCTTGTACTGCATGGTCCAGAGGGCAGCTGCCCTCTCCTCCCCCGTCACGGTCTCTTCCCCGAGGCCTGGCAGAGTAAAGCCAGAGAGGAGGTGCTGACCCCAGCTGGGCACTGCCTCCTGATCTGTGCCCGGCCCTGGTCACTTGGCCACGTCAGCACTTGGCCCTGAGGCCTGGTTCTTTCCCCGAGGTGCTGAGTGCTGCTGAGAATCGGGCCTGGAGCGCGCTGACAGCCTAGCACCAGCTCGTTGCCTCAGCAGGGCCCCTGCTGCTTGGAGACGCGCTCAGCGTGCACCTCCTGTCTCCGAAAGCTTGGCTGGACGCTTCGTCACAGGCCCGTGGGTCTCTGCTGGGCAGAGCAGAACTGGCCAGTGGCTCCGTGTCCATTACCGATGTCGGGGTTTGGCCCAGCAGGGAGGAGAAACCATAAATCCACATGGGTCAGGACAGCCCAGACTGGCCCCTCCCTGGGTAACAGGACCTCACTGTCCATGGGCAGCCACTGATTATACTCCGAGTGTGGAGGGGAGCTGGATGGGCCCTTTGAAGGCTGCTGTCCGGACCCTTGGCTTAGGCTGAGCTGGGCAGAATTCCCCCATGCTGGACCTGTTCCGTGTGGCCTGCATGTGAACTCAAGACCCTGGTGAAAATGGTCAGCCAGCAGCTGGAGTTGGGGAATCGAAGGCAAGTCCCCTCTGACTAAGCCAGCCAGGCTCGGGCTCCCGTTCTGCAGGGACGCGTGGAACGCCGTGCACAAGCCAAGCATGGCCGCTGCTTTCAGAGTCATGGCTGGGTTTGGCGGGCGCTGCTGGCTGCTCGTGGCCTCGCACGGTGGCTTGATAGTGCCTTACACCCCGTGCTGGCTTTGCAGCTCTTTTCTCACGCTGTGTCTGCGAATGGGAAGCCCGTGGAGGACCCCATGGAGATCATCATCACTGTGAGTGACCAGAACGACAACAAACCTCAGTTCACCCAGAGTGTCTTCACAGGCTTCATAGAAGAAGGAGCCAAGCCAGGTATGTGAGCAGAGCCCCCGACTTGGGGGCTGAGACACACCGGTCATGAGATGTGGCTTTGGAGGGTTCCCTCCAAGGAGAGAGAGAGAGACAAGGGCTGTTTTAGTGTTGGGTTAATTTTGCTTTGAAGAATTTAAATCCCAGAATAACCCAAAGGGGCTAAAATCTGCCCACTGAGCAGACACGCCTTGTCCAGAGTGCGGGTGGCTGGGCTTGAAGCAGGCTCTCCCTCCCCTTCCAACCCAGCAGTTCCTTCCCCCGATCCTGCAGGAGAGTCGGCATCCTGGGGTTGACCACCTGCCTCGCCACAGAACCCGCGGAGGGGACCAGTTACCTTCGCAGAAGGCTCTGGGGCTGGCAGGGAGCAGGCGCTCGGTGCGCTGACGGGGGCGGTGTGAGAACTGGAAGGGAACATCCCCCGCCCCCAATGTATGGGGCCCCTTGAGGAGAGTGTAGCAGCTCTGGGTCCACCAGCGCTCCCTGGAAATAGGTGTCGTGATTCTGGCCCAGGATCTCCAGCTGCGGCTCCCTTTGGAGCCCAGAAGCTGAAGCAGCTGCACTGTGCCCCTGTGTGGAGGGTTCCGGCCAGTCAGAGCGGCGCCCTACAGTCCAGCCTGTCCCTTCCATTGCAGTACCAAGCCACGGTGCCCGAGAACGAAGTGGGGGTGCTGGTTGCCAGGCTGAGTGTGTCGGACAGGGACAAGCAGGGCTCTCCGGCCTGGCAGGCGAAGTACAAGATTGTGAGAGGGAACGAAGGGGGCTTTTTCACCATAACCACGGATCCCAACAACAACAACGGGGTCCTGGAGACTTCCCAGGTGAGTTGTGCCCACCCAGCTCTCGCGCCTCACCTTGACGTGACTTTGAAAATGCTACGGTCCAGGGGGACGGCTCCTGGGGTCCTCAGCTGCACCGCTTCCCCCTCGTGCATGCACCCGCGTTCACCCCAGGAAAGTAAACCGGCCCGGCTCAGCCCACCACTGCTCTCAGGCTGCAGGAGCACGATCCCCAGCAGAGGGTGCCCTGGGGAGCTCCCAGTCCTAGTCCCCAGAGCCCTGCTGCATGCGAGTCCTTCCCCGGGAAGGTACAGCTCTGTCTGGGGGCGCAGGGGCTTTCCCTCAGCCACCCCAGAACCAACTCTGACTTACTCTTCTGAATCTCTTCCCAGCACTGCTCAGGGGGGGGGCGGGGGGGAGAGTCCGTCTGGTAGGACGGACTCGGGGCTTTAGGTTCCCAAAATTTCTCCCTCTCCCCTCTGGATCTGGTTAGGGGCTGTGGGCCTGCCCATGAGGGGTCAGAGCTCGGTGCGCTACCTCCCACGGGCCCTGTGGGACTGCACCGAAGAGTGGGGAGGGAGCACGGCCAACGGATTAGACCAGGGGACTGAGTGTTGAGCAATCCTGTCACAGAACTTCAGTGCTTCCTTATCCCCGCCAGTGCGGTGGGGATGGTTCTCCCTCCCGGAGAGGGGCCCATGCGGGTGGAGCACTGGGGGGGTCTTGGATGGAAGGCACCCGGGGAAGGGGACAGCGCGCTCAAGGGACCTTCCTGAAGCGAGCCTGCTGATGGGCGGAGTTCCTCTGCCACCCGGTTAACGTGTGTCCTCTCTTCAAGGGCAGGATGAATAGCCTCCCAGCCGTTCACAGCCCTGCTCCCTCCTCTCTGGGAATTCTCCCTGGCGTTAGCAGGGTTTATATTTTGTCTCTCCTGGAAAGCTGACTCCTTCCTTTGCCTCCTTTCCAGGGCCTGGATTTTGAGGTGCAAAGACAGTTCATCCTCAACGTTATCGCAATGAACGACATTCCCTTCTCCGTGTCTCTCCCAACTTCCACAGCCACCGTTACTGTGAACGTTGAGGATGTGAACAAAGCCCCAGTCTTCGATCCACCTATCAAAAGCCTGAGGCCAGCAGGAGAGGTTGCACTGGGAACTGGGCACAGAACACTCCTTAGGGACCCTGGTCCCGCTTGTTGTGGGAATGGCTGACGGGCGAGGGAGGAGCTACAGTTACACTTAGGGAGCAGTTACACTTCGGAGGGGAGCCCGTGGAGCACCCCAGACAGGGCTGTGGTAAAGGGGGATGCCCCGATTCCCAGGGAGCTCCGTGCCACAGTGCCCCAGACCAGAGTGTGAGCAGGATGCCTGTTGGCAGTGCAGGCTGCCCGTGGCGTGGGATCCTGCCCCTGCTGTGGGACTGCAACCAGCTCACAGTGACTCCCAGCTGAGCTGGCAGGGCGTGGGGTAGTTCCTGCTGGCACACCCCTATTGCAGTCACGAGTCCCTCCCCAGGCCTGCTCCTCGCCGAGGCCCCAAGGTTACTCACTGGCCTCGCTAGCTCAGCAAGCAGAGCCGGGGCCTGGCTCCCAGTGCTAAGCCCTGGTAATATGCTACAGGGAATGGTACCACAGGGAGGGGACTGGAGGGTGGAGTGGGGCAAATGGCCAATGCTCTGCACTGCCCCGATCCACGTCAGAGCTGCTGGGGCGATGCCCCACGTTCATGAGGTTAGACAACTGCTGGGGGCAGCGGTTCTGCTGTGCGGGCTTCAGAAATCAGGGTTGGGCCCTGCCTCACCCCCCCCATCGGCCTGAGCGTGAGCCAGGGGCCTGCCTCACCCTCCCCCCCCATCGGCCTGAGCGTGCGCCGGGGGCCTGCCTCACCCCCCCCCCCCTCATCGGCCTGAGCGTGAGCCCCGCCTCACCCTCCCCCCCCCATCGGCCTGACCGTGCCCTGGGGGCCTGCCTCACCCGCCCCCATCGGCCTGAGCGTGGGCCGGGGGCCCCGCCTCACCCCCCCCATCGGCCAGAGCGTGCGCCGGGGGCCTGCCTCACCGTCCCCCCCCATTGGCCTGAGCGTGCGCCGGGGGCCCCGCCTCACCCCCCCCATCGGCCTGAGCGTGCGCCGGGGGCCCCGCCTCACCCCCCCCCCCATTGGCCTGAGCGTGCGCCGGGGGCCCCGCCGCACCCCCCCTACACTGCTACAGGGGGTTTCCATCAGGGTCAGACTCGGATTTCCACGCCCCGAGCGATGGCAGCTGGGTGGATGGAGGCATTGTCCCACTGCCCTCCCTGCCTGTACAGAGGGTGAGGGGGTCCGGTGGGCGGGTGGAGTTTCCCAGCCTGGAGCACCATCGCGATGGAGTGCAGAGCAGGCTCGGGTGCCCTGTGCTCCGCTCTCCGATCCCTCCCCGTTTACCGGCGCGCGCCAAGAGAGACGCTGTTCCCCTGCTGCACGCCCCAGTGTGCACCCCACGGGGCGGGCACTGCCGTGGGGTGGGGGAGTGGCTGCGGTGCTTCGGGGGCCCGGTGTGAGGGGCCCCGCTTGGCTCATTAACTTGTGTCCCAGGCCAGAAACGTGCCCGAGGCCCCTAGCACCTCCCTGACCATCCACGTGTTGAACACTCTGACGGGCCAGCCCGCAACAGGCCTGGCAACGCACCTGTCCTGGCTCGAAGGCCCCGGGCTGCAATGGAGGGTGCTGATGACGAGGTAGGTGCGGGGAGGCAGATGGGCTGCCCCTGGAAGGGAAAGGCCACCTGTCACGGAGTCCCTGGGCGATGCTCTGGAACTGCTCCCCATGAAGCCAGGCAGGACTCTGGGGAAGTCTCCCCTCTGGGAGCAGCCTGTCTGCAGGACACACAGCTCACACAGCTTCCACCTTCCTGGGTCTGACCTCGGAGCATTCAGCCTCCTCTGCCCCTCCGTGCGCTTCCCACAGCGTGTCCGCCCAGGCGGAGTCCTGGGGAAGCCAGAGGGTCCTGCCCCCCAACTTCGCAGTCAGACAGGACTCTCAGCCAGCCAGGAAAACAGAGGTTTATTAGACGACAGGAACATGGTCTAACACAGAGCTTGCAGGTGCAGAGAACAGGACCCCTCAGCTGGGTCCATTTTGGGGGGCAGTGAGCCAGACAACCAGACAACCTTCACTCCATGTCTCCAACCAGCCTGTCACGGAGTCCCTGGGCGATGCTCTGGAACTGCTCCCCATGAAGCCAGTCAGGACTCTGGGGCAGTCGCCTTTCTGTGAGCAGCCTGTCTTCAGGACACGCAGCTCACACAGCTTCCACCTTCCTGGGTCTGACCTCGGAGCATTCAGCATCCTCTGCCCCTCCGTGCGCTTCCCACAGCGAGTCCGCTCAGGCGGGGCTCCTGGGGAAGCCAGAGGGTCCTGCACCCCAACTTCGCAGTCAGACGTGACTCTCAGCCAGCCAGTAAAACAGAAGGTTTATTAGACGACAGGAACATGGTCTAAAACAGAGCTTGCAGGTGCAGAGAACGGGACCCCTCAGCTGGGTCCATTTTGGGGGGCAGTGAGCCAGACAACCACGTCTGCACTTCACTCCATGTCCCAGCCAGCCCCAAACTGAAAACCCCCTCCAGCCCCTCCTCCTCTGGGCTTTGTTCCTTTCCCGGGCCAGGTGGTCACCTGATTCCTTTGTTCTCCAACCCTTCAGCTCTCACCTTGCAGGGGGGGAAGGGCCCAGGCCATTAGTTGCCAGGAAACAGGGTGTCGGCCATTCTCTGTGTCCAGACTCCTGCACACACATGCCCTCTAGGGCTCTGCAATGATCATACACCCTTACCCCACCCCCTAGATACTTAAGAACTGCCTAGGGGAAACTGAGGCACCCCCACACTATTCAGAGGAAACATTAAGAACAGTCCCACTTCGTCACATCTCTCCCCCCTTCGAGATCGAACTGAGCGGGGTCACTTTAGCCGGTGACCTGGGGAAGTTCGAAGCCACCAACGTTCCCATGGATGCCCCAGCATCTCTCCCATTCCTTGGTAGGAGTTACACCAGGCCCTTCCAGTTTCACGCCCTCCCTTAGGTCAGGGGTGGTCGATAGCACTCGCAGGCCGCATGTGGGAAGGTTTATGCAGCCCATGCCCTTTGGCCACCCCAAGAATGTCTCCCCATTGACCATCACCTTCTGCTCCCACTGGAGGTCCGGGGGGCCTGGCCCCAGGAAACTCCACACAGACATATAGGTTGGGGTCAGGAGTGGGAGCCTGTCCACATCCCCAACCATCTGGCTGACGGAGTCTGTGGCCTTGGGACCCAGCAAGGGAGCTAGACACCGGGGCTTTTCCGCAGGGTCCCCTTGGTTCAAATCTCCAGCCTGCTCAAAGGCAGTGAGGTGGCATCCACACACACCCCCCCCTTAACCAGGGGCAGCAATTTAGTCTCGAGGTTCCCTGCGGAACTGGCCCCCCGGGGTCTATCCCCACTCACCCCGGGGAGGTCCCCTAGGCCTCTCCGCTCCCCCACCGCCAGTTCATGCTGCTGCTGCTTCTGCAGCTCTTTCTCGGGCTCTCGCTGTCTCTCACAGTCCTCTTGCTCTCTCAGACTCAGCTCCAATCCCGTCCGTCTTGATCCCCCAATGGGGAACCCGATCGTGAAGACCCCCGTCTGGTCGGGGACAGGAGTCTTGGCGATGCCTGGCTCCCGCTTCAGCTGCTCCCAGATCCTGCTATAGCCCCAGTTGGGGTCAGGAATCTGTTCCTTAGAGCGGTCATCCTCCTCCAGCTGCACGATTAACTCTGCTTTGGTGAACTTTCCAATGCTCAACCCTCTCTTTTTGCACAGGGTTACAATGTCCTTCTTAAGGAGACGGTGACAGGCCATCACTCCGCTCCTCCCAAGTTGTTGTGGACTCACAGGCCCGTGTGTTCTCAGCTCCCCACGGTTTCCAGGGAGAACCCCTAGTGTGTCAGCCCTTCTCGAGGTCACCACCTCTTTGCCAGGGTCGAGCTGCAGACTCCTCCGCCCCTTGGACTGCTCGCTGCAATCCCCAGGGGAACCCTGTTACTGCACAGTCCTTCTCGCTGGTCACACACTCCCAGGGGTTAACCGCCCCCCGAAACCGCTCCTCTCTGAGCCTTCAGCAGGCCTGGTCCTCGGCAATCCCCCCTTCGTGTTACTGCTCCCCAGTCACTTACTGCAGGAAGCACCATCCACGGGGTGCAGTACATCCCACCGCTGCCACCAGTTGTCACGGAGTCCCTGGGCGATGCTCTGGAACTGCTCCCCATGAAGCCAGTCAGGACTCTGGGGCAGTCGCCTTTCTGTGAGCAGCCTGTCTTCAGGACACGCAGCTCACACAGCTTCCACCTTCCTGGGTCTGACCTCGGAGCATTCAGCATCCTCTGCCCCTCCGTGCGCTTCCCACAGCGAGTCCGCTCAGGCGGGGCTCCTGGGGAAGCCAGAGGGTCCTGCACCCCAACTTCGCAGTCAGACGTGACTCTCAGCCAGCCAGTAAAACAGAAGGTTTATTAGACGACAGGAACATGGTCTAAAACAGAGCTTGCAGGTGCAGAGAACGGGACCCCTCAGCTGGGTCCATTTTGGGGGGCAGTGAGCCAGACAACCACGTCTGCACTTCACTCCATGTCCCAGCCAGCCCCAAACTGAAAACCCCCTCCAGCCCCTCCTCCTCTGGGCTTTGTTCCTTTCCCGGGCCAGGTGGTCACCTGATTCCTTTGTTCTCCAACCCTTCAGCTCTCACCTTGCAGGGGGGGAAGGGCCCAGGCCATTAGTTGCCAGGAAACAGGGTGTCGGCCATTCTCTGTGTCCAGACTCCTGCACACACATGCCCTCTAGGGCTCTGCAATGATCATACACCCTTACCCCACCCCCTAGATACTTAAGAACTGCCTAGGGGAAACTGAGGCACCCCCACACTATTCAGAGGAAACATTAAGAACAGTCCCACTTCGTCACACAGCCCCAAACTGAAACTCCCTCCAGCCCCTCCTCCTCTGGGCTTTGTTCCTTTCCAGGGCCAGGAGGTCACCGGATTCCTTTGTTCTCCAACCTTTAGCTCTCACCTTGCAGGGGGAAGGGCCCAGGCCATCAGTTGCCAGGAAACAGGGTGTCGGCCATTCTCTGTGTCCAGACCCCTGCACCCACCTGCCCTCTAGGACTCTGCAATGATCATACACCCTTATCCCACTCCCTAGATACTTAAGAACTGCCTAGGGGAAACTGAGGCACCCCCACACTATTCAGAGGAAACATTAAGAACCGTCCCGCTTCGTCACACCACCCCACAACCCCCCTAAGTGCAAAGACCTGGGGGTCGGGGGGGGTGGTGGCTGAGCTAAAGCCTGGGGGCAGGACAGGAAAGCGTTTTTCCACTTCCTCAGGCTTCCCTCCCCCACCTCACACCTGAGTCTGATCCCAGCCCACAACAGAACAGTTACCTGAGCCCTTCAACCCCCCTCCCCGCCCCCGCGTCGATCAGGCTGCACCTGCCCAGCCCAGCCACCAGGGAGAAGGTGGCCCCGGGGGGTGCAGGCTGCGGGATGGGTTCTGGCAGAGTGGGCTGGGGCCTGCAGCAGGCACAAGTTCCATCTCCCCCCGCCAGCCAGCGTACTGGCACAGACCCAGCCAATGCATAGCCATTTCCCCTAGTGCTCCCTTCCTTGGGTTTGGGAGTCTCTTCCCCTCTGGTTGTGGGGTGGGGGGATTACTCCCTTCTGGTCTCTGGCCTGGCAGGTGCCTCACTGCTCCGCTGGGCCCCCACTTCGCACGCACCTGGCATCATGGGGATGCACTCCAGTGGGGCACTGCCATCCGCTCTGGCTCAGCCTTCCTGGGGTGCAGGCCGGACCGCAGAGGACAGATCCTACGCTCTGACGTGACCCAGAACAGTTCAATCTCCCCATCAACTCCCAGGGTGGTGATGTGCACGCAGCATGAGGTGATGCTGGCCAAAAACCGTCTCCTGGAGTCCCTGGGGGCAGCTCCTGCCGTCTGGAAGGACCTCCCTGCGTGCCCCATCCCCAGGCGCTCTCCCCTGCTGTCACGCCTCTCCTTGCTGTGCCTTCTGCTTCCTGCTCTGCTCATGAGGACCATGCGGGGAGCACGTCATCCCAACAGCTGCGCCTGGCTCAGCCGCACCTGCGACTGGCTCCCAGCAGGGAGGCTCCAGGGGACTAAGGAGGGAGCCATGGACAGCTTCAGTTTGATACACTTGTTTTGATTTCAGCTCTACCAACGTGGATGGGCGCTGCCTGCTCTTCCCGGCTCCTGAGCAGGTGAAGGCTGGCACATACAAGCTGCACTTCGACACTGGGGCTTACTGGCAGTGGCTGGGGTACACTAGCTTCTACCCCTATGTGGAGGTAAATCTACTAACCGGGAGCATGCCTGGGCCCAATTCCTCTCTCACCTGGGTTAAAGCAGGAGCGAGGAGAATCAGCCCTGTCTACAAAGCCCTGTCTGCTAGCACATGCAGACCCAGGGGGCAGTGAGCACATGGAGTGTCTGAAGCCCAGGACGTGGGTTGCTCTGTGACTGCCTCTCCAGAATCTTCTGCTAAGTCAGGGGAAGTTACCACAGACGCTACAAATGCACTGGAGCCCAAGGCTCAAATTCGTTGATACTCCACCGTAAACTCTGCCTTGTGGCCGAGCAGGGCAGCAGCTTACAGCAGCGTACAGGAGCAGACTCTGGCCCCATCTCCCTGCTCCCCAGCCATGGCCTTTGCCATCTCAGAGTGACTAGGGCTCAGTGCAGCACAGATGCACTTTACACAGCTGATCTGCAGCTCTGTCCCCAGCAAACCGCAGCAGCCCTGGAGCTGCTCAGTGTCAACGGGAAAGGGTTGCATTTCCTCCCGCCCTGGCGCTGCTCCGACATTGCCTTAGGGACCGTCTGCAGACAGATCAAACTGCTGTGGGGCTGAGGCTCTCCCCAGCCAGCACATGCTTTGTCACACACGTAACCGGCTTCTCCCTTGTCTCTGCCAGGTTGTCTTCACAGTCACAGAGCGAACCTGGAAGCTGCACATCCCTCTGCTGATCAGTCCCTTCTCCTATACCACCTACAAGGGGAGCTAGAGCACAAGGGAGAGCAGGTCGGCATGGCGCAGGGACTAGCCCCCCCACCCCCTGCCGGCCTGGCCTTGGCTCCAGAGATGGGCTGGAGGAAGTGACGCGAGGGAGGGCTCAGGATGGGCTGTGCTATTAAAGGGTTCTTGCAGCAGCACTTGCCTTAGCCTGATGCACTCAGCCGCTCGTTAGCGAGCTCTGTGGATCCGAGTGGTAAAACAGCCACGGAGATGGATAGCTCTGCTCTAGGAAGGGCAGCATGGCTCTGCTGCTCAGAGGCCCAGTTCTCCCTGCTGGTGAGCGCAGTCCCTCCAGAGCCAGCAGGGCTCATCCTTCTTCCTGAGGCCGAGAGCTGTTGGCATATGGAGGAGACCCATGCAGGCCTCTGGGTTCCAGTCCCTGCCCAGCTGGGAGGCCTATGGGTGCAGGACTGGCTGAGAACAGGCTGCATGTGGATGCCATGGGTGTGGGTCTGGAGTGGTGACACTCCTCTGCTTATAGTGCTGCGGTACCCAGGGGCCAGCTACCAGCTGGCTCTGGCTGGCACGTTCTCTAGGCAAGGGAACACTGGGCTGTGAGAGGTCTCCTTCCACGCTGAGGCCCGGCCCTGCCCTGCCCTGGGAAGCAAAAAACGGTTTCTTTGGAGCCTGCTTAAAAACCTTTCTGGGGTCTGTTTAATGAGGCAGAGCCACCAAACAGCCCTGCTCTCTGCCTGGGACAGCCCAGCCCACTCCCTGCGGTGCTGGGACAGGAGCACATGGTGAGGCTGCTGACAATATTTAGTGTAACCTGAGAGGGGATGGACAAGCACGTGCCCAGCAGTGTTAGGTGGGGGTAGCAACGAGTCCGGCTGGGCCCTGCCCCAGCAGCTGTCCCATCACTGTGGTCTCCAGTGGTTTGAAGCCCACGTTGTCCAGGGGGATCCCGAAGGCTGTGAGCTTGGCCTCATAGGTGCGCAGCAAGTCGTTGTGTGCCTGAAAGCGAAGCAGAGTGTGAGTCCCATACACAGCTCTTCACTAGCTAGCTCCTACCCGCACAGACCACCCACTCCTGCACCATCCCCTGTGGTGCCCGGCAGGGGCAAAGGGGGGCTGTCATTATAACTAGGGAAACCAGAACTCGGCCCCGAAGCCAGTCTGGGTACTGGGGGTTCCTAGGAAACCCCCCAGAGAGAGAACCAGCACCATGTGTCTAATTCCCTCCCGCCAGCAAGTTAGCTGCCTAGCAGCGAGGGCTGCACACACAATAGGAGATGCCAACGTGCCAGAGGGCTGAGCTGTCTGGCCAGCTTTTTCTAGCTTTGCCACATAATCAAGAGGATTAAAGGCCTGACACAACAAGGGAAGTGCTGGGCAATGGCTGTGTCTATCTGTGCACACGTGTGCAGGAACAGCCCTTCCACTGCCTCCTCTCCTTCAGGAGAGATTATGTCTAACAGAGCCATGTAAGAGCAGTGCCCTGCTCCTCCCAGCAGGCCCTGGAGCTTGATCCCCATTAGGTTTTGCACAGGAGGACTCTCCCTGCAGAGCACAGTAACTATGTGGCATGTCCCAGCGCTGACCCTGCCTGGTTCCACTGGGGCAGGACAGAAGCAGGGTCCCCTCTCCTCACCTTGCAGACTCGGGCCAGTTCGTACTGGAGATCCTTGATGGTGTTGTTCTTGGAATCCAGCACGTCCTGGGAAGGGAGATCAGAGCCTTGTTACCGGTTGGGTCCCCTGGGCATGGACTAGAGCCCAGCTCAGCGTGGTGCCACGGGAAAGCTGCAGAGATTGGCTTGGCAAGGTTCCCACGGTGCTGCCAGAGGAGGTGGTGCCTGCTGGCTGGGGCTAGTCTGTGGGGGGGACTGGAACGTAACCCCAGAACCCTGCTCAGTGTAATGACCCAGAGACTGAGATGCCTTTAGTGCTGCCTGCCCGCCAGTTTATGTTGCATCTGGTGGGTTAGACATGGCCTGTGCTCCCTTCGGTAACGAACACTGCGGAGAAGCCCATGCCCCTGCACTGCACTCGGAGAGCTCACAGCCCACTTCATCCCACTCCAGCCTGGTTTCCTCCCATCACCAAGCCAAAGATACGACAGAGGAAATCCTCAGGCCACTCAATGGAATGCGACCTTAGTCCCCAGAGAGGCATTCAGAGTGCTTTGAAACCTTCCACAACAAGCAGTCCCCACCCCTGATCCCACCCTCCTGCCTCACAACCACAGGGTCTGAATCCAGCCCTGCTGGGTGCCCAGTGCCCGTTGACAGCCAGCTGAGCACAGGCCCCAGGCTCTCTCTGCAGTTGGGGAAAGCGGAGACCAGAAGAAATCCAGGGCCCTGGTGGCTGAGTGGGCCCTCTCTCTGTCAGGGCTGGCTGAGCCCTCTGTCAAACTGCTACACCTGGTCAGACATTCTGGGATTCAGGAATGTGTTCTCCCTTTGGTTAAGCGGCTGGTTTGCTGCAGAGACTGTGGGATGTGTGAGGGCTACAAATGTGTCTACTAAGCATGAGGTGCCTGACTTTCCAGCAGCCTGTGCTCTGCAGAGGGCAGCAAACGAACAACATTCCCCCACCTGGAACTTCCACTGCACCAGCCTCTCGCTGGAAAAGGCTCCAGTTGCACTGTGACTCTTGTGCCAGGGGCCACTATGGCAGCTTCCAGTGCTCAGGGGCTGGCCCCAGGAATGCAGGGGACCCCCAGTTTTGGGTCATATTATGAAAGGAACCCCTGGGCGGGTATGGAGTTGTGGTAAGGCGAGGCGGCTGTGCCTCACATGTGCTGCCTGGCCTTTCCGCTCCAAGAACCCAACCAGGGCCCTCTGGACCTGGGTGCCGCTCGGTGCCTCCAAGAGCTTGTCTACACTACTTAAATTGGTCCTGAGATGTACCAACGGTCCCGCTCCGCTAACATTAGCGAGAGGGGAAGGCCAGGTCTGCATTTCTGCCACTCCGTCACCTAACTGCTCAAACGTCAGGGCCTGGGCTACATGGCGCCAGTGCAGAGTTACAGACCGGGAGCTTCGCCTGCAGAAGGCAGCTGAGCAAAGGAATTCGGAGACTCCAGCACCGCCAGCAGCTGCTGGAGAGATGTCGCCTTGGTGGTTTCTGAAGAATGTGTTTTGTGATCTGTTCCGCCCAGGCCAGGCAGTGGAGCTCCTACATGGATACATTCCATCCCCAGTGTCTGAGCACTACAGGGCTGTTAATGGTTCACCCTCACAACACCCCAGGGAGGGAGGGAAATGGTATCTCCATTATAGTGCTGGAAGCTGAGCACAGGGTGGATGAAGTGACTGGCCCCAGGTCACACAGGAACCCAGGTCTCCCGAGTCCCGAGCCCATTTGAGCTGGGTTGGGACAAAGGCAGACAGCAAGTGCTGCTTCTCCTGTCACTGCTGCCACTCGCTTGGAATGTGGAATCACTAAGCCTTTTCTCCCCTCGCCCCAGGAGCTCCCTGCGATGTATTTTTAGCATGCCAGACATCCCAGAGGCTGCTGTGAGCCACAGAGCCAGGAAGGAAAGCAGGTGATATGGGGGGGAGTGACTAGTGAGATTCATCTTAGTTCTCATTGGTCATTATGTCCCCGCTAACCCCCATGGCCACAAAGCCCCTCCAAATCTGGCACATTCTGGGTACGCCTCCACTAGAGCTGGAGGGTGTCATTGCCAGCTCCAGGAGACATACCCGTGCTACTCTCATGGAGCTAGCGTGCTAAAATCCGAGTGTCGCTCTAGAGGTGCAAGCAGCAGGAGAGGCTGGCCGCCCCGAGTATGTCACTTCGAGCTAGGAATCACGCCTTCCAGCTCCAAGTGTTGGCAGAGCCAGAGTAGAGCTTGCTTAGATTGCCGAGGGTGGTGCCAGCCAGGAGAGGGCTGTCTCTGCAGAGCTGGCCGGGGAAGCCTGGGTGAGGCTGCTGCTCAGTGTGCTTCCATCCCTCACCTTTACGGAGTACAAACAAGCAGTGTCTGGCTTGCGGAGCCTGCCACACAAAGGAATCAGCAGCCCCAACAATTCTCCTGTGGGATGGGACTTGGAACCACCCTTTACACAGCTGAGGGAGCGAGACTCAGCGCTGAACCTACTGCACCTTAGCCTGCCCCTCATGCAAGGAGAATCCTAGTGCCCCAAGGGGGTTACCCATACAATGGCCTTCATGGGAGTTACGGGAGGCCACTGAAACCCATCCCCTTACCACAGCGGTAGCCTAGGGATTCTGGCAGGACAGTGGACCATGTCGGGGCTTTTCCCTAAGTATGCCAGGGCCCCAGCTCTACACACATCTTAGAGGTGAAATTCTTCCAAGACGAGGGGTGACTCTTTCTGTCCTCCCAGTCCATTGGGCCTCTCCTTCTGCACCTTCTGGGGCTGCGCTAACAGACCAGAAACTCTGACAAAACTACCAAGTTCAGCTAGCCACCAGGCGGGAGTAACAAAGAGTGTGGGGTCCCACAAGGTTGGTCCTCGCTCCTCAGGGGGTGCAGGGAGAAGGAGAGGGCTCCCTCCTGGTCATAAAGGGACCATTCTCTGATGCCTTCTCCAAGCCTGACTGCACCATGAATGTAGCCCCCTGCTGCCTCCAGCAGGATCCCTCTCCAGCTACAGAGACTGCACTCAACTCTTTGGGGCTGAGGTTAAAAGGCCCATGTTTAGCCACAGAGCCGGCCCGGCCCCCCTGTGCAGCCCTATCATCCCAAGCCCTAACCCTTGCAGTGGGGAGGGGGCAAGCCCAGCAAGAAGTGACTCTTCTGCTCCCATCTCTCCCCCAAGATCCTGAAGCAGGCTACAGTACCTCCAGTTTGCGTGTGACCATGGTGAGGGCGCTGGGGTCAAGATTGGAGGCTGAGAGGATTTCATTAAGCTGCACCTCCTTCTTCTCCAGTATGTTGGAGAGGCCCTTCAACTTGCGCTCCAGGAGCAGGTTCTTGAAGCCAGTCTTCTGCTGCACCTCACTAATAGCTTTGGTGAACTTCTGATAGAGCTCGTCTCGTTCTGCCTGCACCTGCTCAGGAGAGAGCCACACACCCAGGTAGCAAGGAGAGCTCCATGCTGTGCCTTCAAAACCACCTGCTCTGCACTGTGGGAACAGCCACACTGGGACTGACCAATGGAACACCAGGTTGGGTAGCATGCCCCTGACAGTGGGCAACACTGGAAACTTCAGTGGAAGTTAACATACGTGACTCCCAGTGGGGAAATCCCTCCCCCTGAAGCAAGAGGAATGAGGAGTCTGGAGCATTTCTTCCCTAGCCAGCACCACTGCATGTGTGTCCTTTAGCACATGCACCCCACAGGCCTGACTTTAACAAGCACAGTATACCTGCCAAAGGCAGGAATGTCATAAACTCCCCCCACCAAACAGCTCCTGCCCCAGACGGATTCCCCATAGGAAGGGGGTCTTCCCCCTTAGCCCACTTTCATTCCTCTGCACTGTACTCCCAGTTCCTGTACCTAGTTTCCACCTCAACTGCTACGTTTTGTGCTTATCCAAAGGGGCCCAAGTGCTCTGTAAACATTAGCCAATCCTCAGGTCATCTCTGAGAGGCAGGTATTACTATCAGCAGTCTCAAGATGGGCTGACTGAGAGACTGGCCCCAGGTCACCCCTTGAATCAACAGCAGATATGGGAAGAGAACCCATGAATCCTGGCTCCTGGAACAGTGGTGCCATGGCAGCATGCTGGGCCCAGAGGCTGATGGATTGAAACCATCCTCTGGTAGCCACAGTCTCCTCCTTTATTAACAGTGAGGGGAATTAATCATTGGATCAACTGACTTCGGGGCATGATGGATTCTCCATCACTTGGAATCTTTAAACCAAGACAGATGTATTTCTAAAAGATGTACTATAGCTCAAACCACAATTATGGGCTTAATGCAGAAATCACTGGGTAAGGTTCTCTGACCTGGGCTTTGCAGGTCAGATTAGATGGTCACAATTGTCCCTTCTGGCCTTAAAGTCTATGGCTGGGAGACCCCAGGACCCTATTCTGGCCCTCAGAGTGACCCCAATGCTAAGTGCCTGAAGGGATCACTCACTTGCCTTGCAGCGGGTAGGAATGGCAGATGTTAGTAGCAGAAACTAAGAGAACCTTGGCTCTTATCTAGTTAATGTGTGTCTGAATTAAGACATATCCTCCAAATCCTATTTCCAAATACACTGAATATGCCGCTGCCTCAATGACAGCTTGTTAATGAGGTCTCATATCAATATTCATATTGCTGGGGAGTCTCCACGAACTGCAGACAAGCTCCATGCTGCCTTAACCCGCTCAGCTGGGTGAGCTGGGGAAAAGACCCTCAGGCTGCAAGCACTTAACCTGAAGCAAGCTCCCTGAAGGGTGGCGTGCCAGTAACAGACTCTGCCTGGTCAGAACAGGGATCATCCTAAATCCAGCGGTTATAGGAGAGCCCGAGGATGATCGTTCCAATGGAAGGGCAGGGGCTCCACAGTGGTAATCTGATGCTATGCTGTATCCAGCACTCCCTCACTGTAACAGGGAGACTCTCAGCAACAATCTCTCTTGTCTTCCTCCTGGCCTAATGCTGCAGCCAGGCAGCCCCAGGCCAGGAAGGGACCAGCGGAGCACATGTTATTGTTTAGTCAACTACAAAGCTGGGTCGGTCTACTGAGTACAGGAGATGGCAGAGCAGAGAGAGCTCAGAGGAGGCAGCCGCTCCTAGGGAACCCAGAGGGTGTCAGAACCCAGGACAACCCCGGCTGAGCTGAGGCCCGTGCAGTCGTCTACACCATTACCATTGTGACATCATCTCATACCCCCGGATCCCAGCTGTTCAGAGTGGGCTGGGGAGGGACGGGACGGGAACTCCCCATGCCCAGGTGCTCTCGCTTCATGTCCATGGCTCTCACCTTGCTGAACCTCTGCTCCAGCACTTCATGTTCCCACTGAAGGTCTTTTAATTCCTTCTGGGTGACTTTCAAACGGGCCTTTGTGTTCTGCAGAGGGGAGGAAAAAGGGAAAGAGATTAGACGCACGCTATGGGTTCCTGGGGTGGGGCAGAGGCAGCACAGGAGAATACCAGACTCTGCTCCCCAAGATGGGCATCACCCACACAGAATCCTCTCTCTCTTAACAAGATACGTAGGGCTCAGGAGTCAGCCCCGGGGGGCAGGAATCCATTATTCCCCTTCCTCCACTAGAGAGCGGTCCTCTGCACCCCTGAGTTCGGGGATCCCCACCAGATGCTATGCTGAGGACACCAGCATAAGCCAAGCACGGCTAACGGGGATTCCATTTTGGAGCCTGTCAGTGTAGTTCCCAGATGACCAGCAGAGGCCACTATTCAAGCCCAATCTGTACCCTGGACACAGCACAAGGAGTGCTCTGAGAAGGAGAGGGGGAGACACTACAGGACATGGGACCTAAACCAGATAGGAGCCGAACAGGTGACTCACAGCCAGTGCCTCCTTGTCCTTCTCGTAGTGGGCTAGCTTCTTCTGCAGCTCGGCCACCTCCTCCCGGGCCCGCTGCAGGGGCTCTGTCTGCCTCTTGTTCTGAAGCAGCACTTCCGCCATCTCCTTCTCCAGATGATCCTCCTTCTTCTTCATCTCCTCCATCTGCTCCTGTTCTCAGGGACAGATACACAATGACTGAGGCCCTGAGGAGGGCTGCCAGCATGGGGCAACGTGGCAGGAGACCCCAGGCCTGCCTGGCCCCCAAGCACTGCACATGGCACTGCCATAGCAGCTTCCCAGCAGATGGCTTAAAATGGTGATGTTTACAAAGCAGCTGCATAATCGTCATTAGTGTAATTGTGTAAGAGTGTCACCACTCCTTAGGGTTAGCGGGGCTGGTGCTCACACAGCAGATGAAGCAGCTGGGAAAACCCCTGCAGTGGAAGGGAGTTCAGTGGGAAGCCAATACTGAAATGCATGTAGAGTTAACAGGTAGGAACTGTCACCTCCAAGAGAGCGTCAGTCCTCTCCAGCACTGGGCTTCCGACCCAGCTGTGTCCCCACTCCGGTGCCGGTTACCTTGAGAGTGTTGATGAGTGCCAGGTTGTTGAGGGTGACATCGTTGTAGTAGTTCTTGATGTCACTGAAGGCCTTCTCGTGGTTCTTCATCAGTGTGTTGATCTGTCCATTTTTCCTCTCCTCGATCTCGTGGATCTCCGTTTTCCTCCGCAGATCCAGCTCGTCCCGCAGCACGCGCATCTTCTTGTCGTATTTGGCCTCAATTTCTGAAGCGAAACACCACGCGTGGCTGAGTGACCAACCCATAGGGCAGGTCAGAGAGGCTGGGACCCAGTGCATGAGCACCCCTTTGCTGTTGCGACAAGCTGCTTGGTCAGTCCACGCCATGGGGATGGTACTCTTGGAAAGGGTGCCCATTAATGGTGCCATATCAACTCCCATTAGTGTAGGGACCAGTTACTGCAGAATCATGGAAGGGAATGCCCAGAAACCCTGGCTGACTGCGGTGCCCAGACACCACAGGCATGGGAGCACTAGAAACACTCAGGTAATCAGCCCATGCAAATCGAACCACGCTATAACAAAGAGGGCAGTAGCGCAAGACCTAAGCGCCTGTAAAGTCTCCTCCAGCCTCAGAGCCCTGCAGCTCCAGAGAGCCAGTGAGAGTCTGTGAAAGGCACTTACTACTGCTTAGTGCCCACTATGGTGCCCACCAGAGCACAGTGTGAAACAATTTCCCCCGACACAGATCGAGGGAGCAGGCCTGCACTGCCACATGGAGACAGGCAGTGTAGAGTGAGACCGAGTCCAACCTTGAGTGGCAGCAAAGCACCCGCTGCTGGTGCTGCTCTGATCCATTCTGCGGGCGCGCAGACAAGCTGCTCCTGGGAATTCAAACAAGCCACTCAGCCTTACAGCCCACAAGTGGCAGAAGATGGAAGGAGGAGGAGAATGGCCTTCAGCCAGCTAGGCCCTGTTTTGCTCCAGGGGAGGGAGCCCAGCAGAGGCACAGTGTGATGAGTGCTAAGAGAGCTTTCACTCTGGGTTTCGTACAGGAGTCCAAATAGGAACTGACCTTTCACTTGTCTCTCAAAGTCGCTGCGCAGCCGTGTGATCTCCTCCTCTTGTTTCTGCCAGGGAGAAGCTGCACATTAGACCTGGATAGCCAAATAGAGAGAGAAATCCTCCCCTACGCACAGGCTCAGAGTCAAGGGCATCTGCTCACCTGGCTGCAGTGCGAAGCCATCACCGAAAGGCTTGAGGGCTGCTGACCAGCTATGCCAGTAATGCCCACTCTGCCAAAGGCTGCTGAGTGTGCTCGTGGATGTATGGGCTACATTCAGACACCTGGGACATGCACCGAACCTGCAGATGTGTTTGAGGGGCACACCCCCTGCCTTATGGACAGTATCGCTCTCCGGGAACATTTCTTTCCCTACTGACTTTGGCCATTTCTGCTTGGCAAACACCAATTCCAGCGCCCTCTCCACCATGCCCCAGGGTTCCTTGTGCAGCACACACTAGCTTGGCTCTGCCAACAGTAACCCCCACGTCAGTGCACCAGCACCCAGCATAGCTCTGGGAACAGCACTGTATATGCCAAATCAAATCAGACCTTTGGTCCATATTACCCAATATCCTGCCCCAGGAAATGACCAAAATCTGAGGAGGACACAAATTCCCACAATGCACCTGGCCATGCCAGAAATCCTTCCTGACCCCATGCGGATCAGCTGATGCCCTGGAGCACATGGTTTGGTTATCCATCCTACTGCAGTTTGCAGAGTGACGCATGCAGTTACTGGTCATCAGGTTCTCCAGCCCCATGTTGGATTCTGACTCCTGCAACACTGAACCTACTGGCTGACTCCCAGCCCCAGGACGACAGACTTCCTTCAGTGACTCTAAATAGATCTCCCACACTGGATAACCCCTTAGTTTCACATTAAGGGGATGGCGGAAGGATCAGGGACTGATCAGTCTCCATTCAGCCCTTCAGAGCCTGGAAGTCTCAGTCAGGTGCCCCCTCTTTCCTCCTTCTCTGACAAGCTAACCTTGGGCTCTCCCATCTCCATTGCACGCCAATACCACCCAGGCCTCGGAATCGCTCTGTCGTCTCTGCTGCTCTCTTCTTCCAGGCTGCAGCTAAGGTGTCCCCAGCCCCATGATTATCTGTCTGAGAGCAACGTACCATGCGCAGATTTTTCACTACCACCTCGTTGGCCAGCTCCTGCTCCTTTAGCTCCACTTTCAAGGTGCGCATATCCTTGCGCAGCTCCGTCTCCTGGGTGCGGTGCTCCTTCTGGGCCAGCTTCATGGACACGCTGCCCTCTGCCTTCAGTTCTGTGATGTTGTTCTGGTGCTCATACAACAGGTGCTTCACCTTCTGCTTGTAAACCTGGAAGAAAGGAATTCAGTGGTGTAAAGCCCGCAGACAGGGATGGGAGCAGGGGGAGCCCAGCAGTGGGGACCCACCCCTCTGCAGGGGCCTGGGAAGAGGGGCATTAGCAGATGCTGGCAAGAACACATTTGAACTTTAAATACTGCCTGAGACACTCCTTGCTAGTGTCCTGCCCAACTCACCTTTGTCCCCTCCTTTTATCCCATGCTGCTCAGGGCTCACTCAAAGAACACCCGGGTGCTACTAATTATGGGCACAGCCAAGCATGGAGCTGTGGCACCAGTAACGAGAGCTGGAGTCCACTAACCGTCTTCCCTTAGCCTCTCACTTTAATCTCCACTTGATGCCGCTCCTCGGCCTCCTCCATCTCTCGGTCCTTGTTGCGCAGCTCTGCCTTCTTCTCATCCAGCTGCCGACGGGTGATCTCCCAGAAGGTGTGGATCTTGTCACGCTCCAGCTGGAAGTAGTTGCGCTCCTCCCGTTCGCGGTCCAGCTCCTCCCGGAGACGCACAATGTGCTCCTCCAGCTGCAGAGCCAACAAGCACAGCTGGTGAAAGCAACGCTGGGGGAATTCTCCTCCCACAAGATTGCTGACCTATGTCTCTCTAGTACCTGTCACCCTCTGGGGGCCCAAAGCTCTTTCCAAACTACCCACAGCAATCCCAACAGCCTCCCCTGGGTAGAGCATGGCAGCTGTTTAACAGGATACAAAAGTTTAGGACGGGAAGTGACGATGCCATATCCAACAGAAACCACAGGCTGTTTAGGGAGGCAGACTGTAATTAGCCATTAAGGTATGGATACTGGGACAAACACCCTGACCTCTGGAAAAGGGAGCTAAGGCATCTTTATTGATCGGAAGGGAACAGACCCTATTTGTCATCTGGAAGAGCAGTGCTGCATCCATTAACAACCAATTCTGACTCAGAATTGCAGGCTCCTCTTTTAGACTACAGGGACATTGAGTCAGGGATCAAGTCTTCATATGTGATTGTATAGCAGCCAGCAAAGCAGGGCCTTGATCCTGACTGGGACTTTGGACATTACCATACTAAATAATAATACAAGGGAAGAGGGCTACCTGCTGAATCACTAACTCCCCTTCGCACAGCACCTAGTCCATTCTCTCATTCAAGCACTGGCTTCGCTTAAGATGCGATGAGAGCACAGCAGATAGCATGACTGCAGATCATCAAACCACAGACTGAACAATCATAGAACTGAATCTGAACGCAGTACCACTTGCGGAAATGGTTTGCTTGGGCCCGGAAAGAAGAGGAAGGTGTATTTATGGCATGGGGTGTATGAATGCCCTAGCAACAGACATTGATTCCATCAGCAATTCAAGTTCTAAAGGGGTTATACACCTGTATCAGAGTGAGTGGAGGGGGTTGTTTCCAATAGGAAACAAGGACAGAACAAGACATAGTGCTCAGACTGACAGGGAAATGCTAGACTGTGTCACAGAAAACCTTTTATAACTACTAGACAGTGGAACAGGGTGCAGAGGAGGGCACAGAATCCTGGTCATGGGCAATAGAGTGCAGGCTAGATGAGGGACACGGGGAGGTTATGGCAGCTCTGGAGAGGGAGAGATGAGATGGTTAAACCCTTTGGGAACCCAACTACACCCCAAAGCCCATAACGAGCCTGCTCTTGTGACACCCATGCAAATAGTTCAGGCATGTAAGGGATGGTGCAGTTGTTGGTGTGAAAACCCACCCTGACTTTTCTACTAATCTTCACCATCTGCCATCTCCATGGGTTGAACCAAACCTTGTGCACTTCGTGCAACCAATAATCCTTACAAATGGGAGCCTCCTCTCACCAGGAGCTTGGTGGCCATGTGAAGCCCTAGGGCAAAGAGCCCTAGGAGGGATGCTGTGAGCTCTCACCTGATCCTTGTTCATGTCCTCCGGGGGGATAGCATCCACCACCGCTGCAGCTTTGCCCCCCTTGGCTTTTTTGCCACCTTTCTTTTTGGGTGCCTTAGAAAAGAAAACAATATACATGACAGGTTTCCATAGCTCAGAGCTACAGAGGTGCCACTGACCTGGGCTGCTGGGGACCACTGGATGTGGATGTCATTCTGACCAATGAGATGACACAAGGTGTGATCATCCACAGGCCACAGGTGCGGCTTTGAGAGGGCTGGAGGGTCAGTAAAGGTACAAGAAACTCCACATCAAAGCAATCAACTAAGAGCACATTTTGGAGCAGCCTGAGCCCTGTGATGAGTTAGGGGCATGCACTTGAGGGGAAGGCAACAGGTGCCACGGGCTGGTGCAGCCAAGGTCTCAGAATGACCCAGTACCTTCACCCGGAAGGACTGTGCGACTGAGAGCTCAGGGCATTGACCAGCCCAGCTGCAGCTCCAGGAAGGCCACTGCAGCCATCAGTCCAGAGCAAAGTGCCCCAGGCACAGAGGAAACGGGACAATTCTGCTGCCTGCCCCAAAACCCTGCCCCAAATGCTGCTGCCCCCCAGCACACCAGGGGCTCCCAGGGGACCCCTGAACCCAATGTTTTCCTCCCAGCCACCCCCAGGGGACCCCTCAAACTCAGGGGATCCAACCCAGCGTCCCGGTCGCCCCCCAGGGGACCCCTCGAACCCAGGGGGTCCCCCCCAGTGCCCCGGTCGCCCCCCAGGGGACCCCTCGAACCCAGGAGATTCACCCAGTGCCCCGGTCGCCCCCCAGGGAACCCCTCGAACCCAGGGGGTCCCCCCAGCGTCCCGGTCGCCCCCAGGGGACCCCTCGAACCCAGGGGGTCCCCCCAGCGCCCCGGTCGCCCCCAGGGGACCCCTCGAACCCAGGGGATCCCCCCAGCGCCCCGGTCGCCCCCCAGGGGACCCCTCGAACCCAGGAGATTCACCCAGCGCCCCGGTCGCCCCCCAGGGAACCCCTCGAACCCAGGGGGTCCCCCCAGCACCCCGGTCGCCCCCCAGGGGACCCCTCGAACCCAGGGGGTCCCCCAGCGCCCCGGTCGCCCCCCAGGGACCCCTCGAACCCAGGGGGTCCCCCCAGCGCCCCGGTCGCCCCCAGGGGACCCCTCGAACCCAGCCCCCCCCACCATGGCTCCTGCAGCCGCGGCTCGGGCTCGGCGGAGTCACCGAGTCTCCAGGCAACCGCCGGGGAAGCCTCGCGAGAATCCGGCCCGGCCATAGCAACGCGCGCCCCCGGCCCTAGCAACCGCCGGCGGCGCGCGGCCCCAGAAGCTCCTCGCTGCCCGCGCGCGGCTCCGCCCCGGCCCCGCTGCCCCGGCGGCCGCAGGGCCCCTCCCCGGGCCGGGCCGGGCCGGGCGCTCAACCCCGGGCGCGGGGCGCAGCCACGCCCCGTCCTGTCCGCGGGCCGAGCCGTCGGAACTGCCCGAGACTGCGCGGGGCCGGGGCCCGCCGGTCCCCAGCGCCAGCCGGCGGGGGCGCAGCGCCGCTGTCCCGGGCCGGGCCCCCGGAGGGACAGCCAGACTTGAGGCTCAGCCTGGTGCCAGCGGGTCCCCCGGCATCCAGACTCCGTCCTTGTGCTTCACCCCCCCGGGCTGCCGCGCTCCTGGACAGACGCAAGCACCAGCCACAGGAGCGGGCCGAGCCCGGCGGGGCCTTGCCCGGTGTCCCCGGGGCTCGGCCCAGGGCACTGCCGCCGCCGGGCCCCGGCGTTCCTGGGCTGCGGACGCTGCCGTGAGGCGCTCAGAGGCGCCATTGCATCCTTGGCCCACAGGGAGCCTAGCTGAGCTTGGCCGAGGGTCAGGGCTTCCTTCGCTCCGGCCGGCTGCAGGCCGCTGCCCCACGGAGCAGGACAGAGACCCAGCCATGCTGATCTTTGAGGTCTGAGGGGACTCCCTCCTCCTTTGTAGGGATTAGGAACAGGCCGAAGGCCCTCCAAACTCCTGGCACTGGGGCTTCGCTGAGTCTCTCAGGGCTTCGCTATAGCTGGGGCAGGAAACGCCTATAACAAGTTCCCAGATCTGCTCCCTGGGTGTCCAAGCAGCAAATCTGCAGTATTAAGACTAAGGAGCATCTACTCAGACACCCCAGGGCTATGGGAGAGCCAGCTGGAGTCAGGCCCAGCTGTGCAGCCCCACTGTCGGTCAGGGATGTTCTGCAAGCAGAATCTTCCCTATGGGAAGGCAGGGGAGAAGGTCAGAGGCGGAAGGAACAGCTGGATTTTCAGGTCTAGGGTGACCAGGTGTCCCGATTTTAGGGTCTTTTTCTTATATAGGCTCCTATTCTCCCCCCTTCCCCCCCGCCCTGTCCTGATTCTTCCCACTTGCTGTCTGGTCAGCCTAGGTAGGTTCCAGGGGGAGTTTGCAGTTAATAGTGCAGTGTGGGAGCAGTGTAGGGCTGGAAGCCGTAGTAGGAACAGTTACCAGAACTGAGATGCCACTGCATAGGTGCCTTTCTGATGGGACGTTCACCTGATTCAAAGAAACCTGGTCACAGTGCAGGGAGCGTGCAGCATGCGCTCTGCATGGCACTACACTGGGGTGGGCAAACTTTTTGGCCTGAGGGCCACATCTGGGAATAGAAACTGTATGGTGGGCCATGAATGCTCACAAAATTGGGGGGGGGAGGGGGCTGAGGGCTCTGGCTGGGATGGGGCTGAGGGGTTTGAGGTGCAGGAGGGTGCTCCAGGCTGGGATCGAGGGATTCAGAGGCCAGGAGGGGGATTAGGGCTGGGTTAGGGGCATGGGGAGAGGCTCAGGGGTACAGGCTCTGGGCAGCGCTTATCTCAAGTGGCTCCCAGAAGCAGCGGCATGTCCCTTCTCCGGCTCCTATGCTGAGGCGCAGCCAGGCAGTTCTGCACGCTGTCCGTCCCCAGGCATAGCCCCTGCAGCTCCCATTGGAGTGCTGGAGGGGGCCATTGGAGCACATAGGAGCTGGAGGGGGATCATGCTGCGACTTCCGGGAGCCGCATAGAGCGAGGCAAGCCTCAGACCCTGCTCCCCAGTGGGAGCGCGAGGACTGGCTTAAAACGTCTGGTGGGCAGGATCCAGCCCGTGGGCCATATTTTGCCCACCCCTGCACTACACCCAAAGGCCACTCATAACCTTCAGCAGATGCAGGATGTGGCTGCCTTTTTGCCTAGCAGGGCTTCACACAGGGAGCACACTATGCCAGGACTTTTAACTAGTTTCCAGATGCAACTAATGGTGTTGCCTCTGCTGTATAAAGTCCTTTGTGTTTTGGGGTCTGGTCTGCCTCCCTGAGACTGGCATCCCAAGGGTGTTTGCAGTGAGGGAACTGGGACTCACTTGGCCCAAGACCACTCTGCAAGGCTCTCTCCCAGGAGAGGCTGAATTGGAGGGATCTCTGGCAGGGACTCAGTGTTCTTGGGACATGCTGGTAGCTAATGCCCTGTGGGTGCATTATACACTGAAAACTTGAGCAAAAGTTCCTATGGTAGATGTGCAGGGTTTTCTTGCATGTCAGCCTAGATGAGAGGACCGAGCCCACCCCACTGCAGCACATGTCTGCCCGCACGGCCCACAGCACTGCCAGCCTTGCTGGCTATTCTGAGCTCTGGCCACTGCTGCGGTTTGACCCTGTGCAGGGATGAGCTCAGTGCTCCTGGAGTTGGGCTGGAGCCCTGTTCTTCTCAGGCAGCATCTCCACGCTGTCCAGGCTGGGGCATTTGTTACTATCGTTCAGAGTTTGCTCGAAGAGGGTCACTAGGTAGGTTGCAGCTACTTGCAGGGCAATTCATTAGTCAGGCACCGTGTGCTGTAAGAATTGAGCAGGAAAAAACAGCAGCTGGTACCTCCACAATAGATGGCTGCAATTTGCACTAATTGCCCAGCAAGGTCTCCAAAGCAAGAATTTTCAAATCCTGGGGCTGGGTTCTGCAGGATACCAAGCCCCACCCCCACAGCTGCCACCGACCCCAGTGTGATTCCCTCAGAGAAACAGACCACCCTGACTTTGGTGCGTGACTGGAATTTATTTCAGTTTAATAATAACTTAAGCTTAGGCACCTGGTTTTGACAAAAGTGGCCTAAACTCCCACCCAGTGAGCTGCCCTGAAGCCCACTGCATCTAGCTCCTGTCGGCATTCCAGAGGTGTCACTTCTCTGCAGCCAGCAGGAGGTGCTGCTCTGGGCAGTGTGTGTGGGAGGGACGGAATTGGGGGACACAGTGGGGTGCCTTTGACTGTCATGCATTAACGGGAATCACAGGGCAGGGGCCCGTCAGATAGCATGGGAGCCAGAGCACAGCTAGCTTTCATTTGCCAATTCACGCTCATCCTGGTTAGGACTGTATGAGCACTTTGGCTGTGGGTGAGACGAGTCAAACTGGTGGAACGTGAACCGCTGCCCTGTCTGGGCTGTTGTGCTCTGTTCCATTAGGTCCCTTTTCCAGGACCCCTGAAGGCTGCCCGCAGCCCGGAAGCAGGGGAGGTACAAACTGCTTCCCCTTGGTTCCCGTGCTGGCCCCAGACGACAGGGTCTTTGTGCCCTTCAGGCCTGGGGCTTGGCTTCCCGGGTAACTCAGCTGATGTCTCCACTACAGCTGTGCCACCGCAGCTTGGGGCTTTGTACGTTGCCTGAAGGGGTTTTTCTGTCACTATAGTTAATCTACCTCGCGGAGAGGCAGCAGCCAGGTCGACAGAAGAATCCTTCCCGTAGGCCCAGCTGCACCTCTGTGCGGGTCAGGTGGGCCTAACTACATCGCACAGGACACACACTTGTTCACTGCCCTGAGCCACGTGGCTGGAGCGATTTAATTTTGAGGTGTGGACCAGGCCTCAGAAACAACACACAGCTCAGCCCGAGCTCCCTCCCTGAGGCTGGCATCCCTAAGATTTCCCTCGGGGCACTCCTCTCTGCCAGCCCCTAGTTCCCTCTCCTCAGAGGGCTGCTGTGTTTCCATGGCACCCTGCCTGCCACGGTGCTGCTGCTGGCTCCTCTGGACCCTGTGCCACGCTGTCCTGTTCCTTTCCTCTTCGAGCCGAACCAGCAAGGTTCCTCCGAGCCTCGTCCGCCACACCTTCCAGCTTCCACCCAGGCCGCACTGCTCCCCGCCTGCCTGTCCTCCAGCGCTCTGCCCCCAGTGATGGGGCCCACCCTTGCCCAGGGCGCGTGCGCCTGTTCCTGCTGGGGATGGGGGGCTACATGTCACTCGCTGCCCCTCCTGCACCAGGGGCTCCAGACTCTTTGTTTTGAGCAATGACAAGGAGTGTGATGAGCTGCTCGGCTTGGCGAGGGCCGCAGCCCTCTCCAGGGGAGGCGTTGCCCCTTTCTGGCTGTGAGAAAGCATGGGAGGGGACCCCTGGCCTTTCCTGCACACGGTACCTTCAACAGTTCGCAGTTCCAGAAAGGAAGGGGCCAAAGCTACGTGGGAGGGGGAGATGGGAAAGTGGGGTGAGGTTGCCGGTGTTGGTAGCAGTATTCCTGGAGGTTTCACCACATGACATAATCTTCCATTCCTGGGGGCTGCCGGACAATGCTGGAGAGTTGGCTACCCTAAACCGAGGGCAGGGGGTCTGAGGAGGCAGAAAAGATGCAGGGGGCTGCTCTAGAGGCCAGGGTGCAGCCTCCCCCCGGGGAGGTTGGAGCAAGGAGGGCAGTTTGGGGGTGGGGACGGGAGTGGCGTGTCCACATGGCCCCCACCAGTGTGTCCTTCGTCCCCGGAAAAGCGGAGACTCCCGCTTCTCCCCCATCACCTCCGGGTCCGCCACCACCTCCAAGGCCCGGGGCTGTTTCCTTGAGCTGCAGCTTTGCCTGAGCCAAGGACGGGTCGCGCTCGCCCTGCCCCCGCGCCAGCCCCGCCGAGGGAAGCGCATCCGGTGGGCAGGCGGCTGCCAGGAGCACCCCAGGTCCGCTTCGTCTTTCAAACGCTGCAGAGCCGGCAGCTCCGTGCAAGCGAAGCGGAGCCCGGCCCGGCCCGGCCCGGCCCAGGGGTGCAACATCCCGGCGCAGCGCCTAGGGGGCTGGGAAAGGCTCCCGCCGGGGGCGGCCGCTCTGCGCCCGGCTCGCCGGGCTGCACCTGTCTCCGCCGCTTCCCCGTCCCCGGCTGCTGCCGGCGTCTGCACCCCCCGCCCGCTGCGGGCCCCGCCCCGCTCCGCTCCGCGGCGATGCGGCGCCGGCTGGGCAGCGGGGGGCTCGGCTCCGGGCGCTGATCCCCTAGCTCGGCCACGCGTCGGGCGCCGGGGCTGCTGCGGGGACCCGGAGGCTGCGGCTCGGCCTGACGCGGCCCCTAGCTCCCCGGCCGCGGGTCCGACGCAGCCCGGCCGGATGGAGGCTCCCGGTGGGGCGGGGATCCCAGGTACGTGGTGGCTTTTGGGGAACTTCCCCGGGTGCTGGAGGACAGCGCCGTGCCGGGCGGGGGCTGGCGGAAGGGGCCGCTCCGCTCCCCGGGGTGGGGTCTGGGGGGGCTCCCACGCCAGAGAAAGTTGGTCCGAGCGCAGGGAACCGCGTCCGCTCCCCGCCCGGGGTCTCGTCCCCCCGCCCGGGGTCTCGTCCCCCCGCCCATCCCCGGCGCCTCCTTCCCCCCGCATGGCTGGCGGCAGGCCCGGGACCCCTGTCGGGCTCAGCCGGGGTGGAGGCGGCTGCTCCCCGCAGTGCTGGGCGCCCGGGCTGCCCCGGGCAGGTTCGCCCCGCGCCCATCACCGCAGCCACCAGCCCCGCTGAGGAAACGCCTCCCCGGGCACGGGAAGGAGCCGCGGCCTCTCCAAGGCGGGTGACCGGCCGGGGCAGGTGCCGGCTCCGCAGCCAGCCCGCGCCGCGCCGCAGGGACCCGCCCCGGTCCGCTGGCCCGACCCGGCGGCTTTCCCGAGCAAAGCCCAGCCGTGGTGTGCGGGGCCGAGCTGCCGGTGCCCCCCGGGGCTGGCTCAGCCTCTCGCCGGCGCTGCGTGGGGCCCAGACGGGGCCGCCGGCCCAGGAAGCGCAGCCAGACGTGGGAGTGGCCCGTGGCAGAGCTAAGCGGGGGGAGGGGTAAGTGTGCGGCTGTCTGGCGCGGGGCTGGGGGTGGAATGTGTGTAGTGGGGGTGGGGAGGTGTGCTGTGCATGCGGGGGTGTCTGGGGTGTGTGTGCGTGGGGTGCCCAGTGGTGCGGGGGGGTGGTTGTCTGCATGTGTGTGGTCAGGTGTGCAGGGATTACACGGTGTCCTGGGGTGTGTGGGGGTTGCAGGAGGGTGTGCGCAGTGGGTGGGTGTGGGCTGCACGTGGACATGGAATGCCTGCGGGGTTTGCACGTGGCTGTGTGTATGCGGTGGTGTGCTTGGGGGTGAGTGGTTTGCACACAAGGAACTTTGTATGTGTCTTGGTGTGTGTAATTTACCTTCACCTTCCGATGCCGCGTTGCCCCGTGTCTCAGGGCCCCAGAATGTCCCAGGCTTTCCCTGTGTCTGGAACAAGGCAGGCCTGAGCCGTAAGGGGGCAGCGGTGCCTGCAGGGGGCGGCAGGGCGGCTCTGGGGCCGAGAGGAGACAGGGCAAGATGTGGAGGGTTCCAGTGGGGATGACCCGGGGTTGTCTGGAACATCCCTATGGAGCCAGCCCACGCTGCAGTTTAACATGAGTCAACAGGAGACAGGTTGGAGTATGTCACGGAGTGTGGGGGAGTCCAGGCCCTGTACCCCTCTTCCTGGGATCCACTGAGACTCTCAGCCAGCCAGTAAAACAGAAGGTTTATTGGACAACAGGAACACAGTCCACAACAGAGCTTGTGGGTACAACCAGGACCCCTCAATCACGTCCTTCTGGGGGAGCAGGGAGCTTAGACCCCAGCCCTGGGGTTCCCTGTGTTCCTCTCCCCAGCCCCCAAACTGCCAACTAAACCCACCCAGCAGGTTCCCTGCTGCAGCCTCTGTTCACATTTCTGGGCAGAGGTGTTACCTCCCCCTCCCCCTCCTGGCTCAGGTGACAGGCTCTCAGGTCTCCCATCCCCAGGGCACATTCCCAGGTCAACACTCCCCCCTCCCTGCTGAGTCACATCGTCACATCTCTCCCCCCTTCGAGGCTGAACTGAGCGGGGTCACTGTGACCAGTGACCTGGGGAAGTTCGGGGCCCCCTCTCCGGGACAGCGCATCCGCTATCAGGTTGGCACTTCCCTTCACATGGACCACGTCCATGTCGTAATCCTGCAGGAGCAGGCTCCATCTCAGGAGCTTGGTGTTGGCTCCTTTCATCTGGTGCAGCCAGGTCAGGGGAGAGTGGTCGGTGTAGACGGTGAAGTGCCGCCCGAAGAGATAGGGCTCTAGTTTCTTGAGGGCCCACACCATGGCCAGGCACTCCTTCTCAATGGCTGCGTAGTGTTGCTCCCGGGGTAGCAACTTCTTGCTCAGGTACACGATGGGGTGTCTCTCCCCCTTTTCATCCTCCTGCATTAACACCGCCCCCAGTCCCGTGTCGGAGGCGTCGGTGAACACCACAAAGGCCTTGTCAAAGTCCGGGTTCGCCAGAACTGGGCCACTGACCAGAGCCTCCTTCAGCGCCCGGAAAGCCACCTGGCACTGCTTGGTCCAGACCACCTTGTCTGGCTTCCCCTTCTTGCATAGCTCAGTGATGGGGGTGGCTATGGCGCTAAAGTGGGGCACAAATCTTCGGTAGTATCCTGCCATCCCAATAAAGGCTTGGACCTGCTTTTTGGTGTGGGGAGCGGGCCAGTCTCTGATCACCTCCACCTTGGCTGGTTCCGGCTTTAGGCGGCTGCTCCCCACCCGATGGCCCAGGTAAGACACTTCCGCCATCCCCACCTTGCACTTCTCCGCTTTTACAGTCAGCCCAGCCCCCTGGAGTCGGTCCAGCACTTGTCTAACCTGGGACACGTGGTCCTCCCAGGTCTGGCTAAAGACACAGATGTCATCAATATACGCCGCGGCAAAACTCTCCATCCCCCTCAGGAGCTGGTCCACTAGGCGCTGGAAGGTGGCCGGCGCTCCCTTGAGGCCGAAAGGCAGGGTCAGGAACTCATAGAGCCCCAGAGGGGTGATAAAGGCCGATTTCAGTCGGGCATCTGCATCCAGCGGCACTTGCCAGTAGCCCTTTGTAAGGTCCATGGTGGTAAGGTACCGAGCTCCTCCCAGCTTGTCTAGGAGCTCGTCCGGCCTGGGCATGGGGTAGGCATCAGATACAGTGATGGCATTGAGCTTCCGATAGTCCACACAGAACCGGACCGACCCGTCCTTTTTGGGGACCAGCACCACCGGCAGATGGCTGGATCACCCCCAAAGCCAGCATGTCCCGGACCTCTCTTTCCAGGTCCTGAGCAGTTTTCCCTGTGACTCGGAAGGGGGAGCATCTTATCGGCGGGTGCGACCCTGTCTGCACCCGGTGGACAGTCAGATTAGTGCGTCCAGGCTGGTTGGAAAACAGCTGGCGGTATGGATGCAGCGCCTCCCTGACCTCAGCTTGCTGGGCAGGGGTTAGCTGATCCGAGAGGGGAATTGTTTCCAGGGGGGAACCAGCTCTGGTCCCAGGGAATAGATCTACTAAAGGGTCATCTCCCTGCTCTTCCCACTGTCCACACACGGCCAACACCACATTCCCCCTGGCATAATATGGCTTCATCATATTCACATGGTACACCCGGCGGTGGTGCGCCCGGTTCGACAGCTCCACCACATAGTTTACCTCATTGAGCTGCTTGACGACCTTGAAAGGGCCCTCCCAGGCGGCCTGTAGTTTGTTCTTTCTCACTGGGATGAGAACCATCACCGGATCCCCGGTGGCGTAGGCACGGGCCCGCGCCGTGCGGTCATACCAGACCTTCTGCTTCTTCTGGGCTCTGGCCAGATTCTCCCTGGCCAGGCCCATGAGTTCAGCAAGTCTCTCTCGGAAGATCAGGACATACTCCACCACTGACTCTCCATCGGGAGTGGCCTTCCCCTCCCACTCGTCTCTCATCAGGTCCAGGGGGCCCCTCACCCTCCTTCCATATAACAGTTCGAAAGGCGAAAATCCGGTAGACTCCTGTGGCACCTCCCTGTACGCGAACAGCAGGTGAGGTAAGTACTTGTCCCAATCCTGCGGGTGCTGGTTCATAAAGGTTTTCAGCATCATCTTTAGCGTCCCGTTAAACCTCTCCACCAGCCCGTTGGACTGGGGGTGATAAGCTGAGGCCCAGTCGTGCCGGACCCCACATTTCTCCCACAAGCACCGGAGCAGGGCCGACATGAAGTTGGAGCCTTGGTCTGTCAAGTCTTCCTTGGGGAACCCCACTCAGCTGAAAATGGTCAGGAGCGCATCGGCCACGGTGTCTGCTTCAATGGAAGCTAAGGGCACTGCCTCGGGGTAGCGGGTGGCAAAATCTACCACCACCAGAATGTATTTCTTCCCCGACCGGGTCGTCTTGCTGAGAGGCCCCACGATGTCCATGGCCACCTTCTGGAAAGGCTCCTCTATGATGGGCAAAGGTCTCAAAGCCGCTTTCCCCTTGTCCCGGGCCTTCCCCACCCTCTGACAGGGGTCACAGGATCGGCAATACTGCCGGACCGTGGTAAAGACCCCGGGCCAGTAAAAGTTCTGTAGCAACCTCTGCCGGGTGCGCCGGATTCCCTGGTGCCCTGCGAGGGGGATGTCATGGGCCAGGTACAGGAGCTTGCGGCGATACTTCTGGGGGGCCACCAGCTGCCTCCTGATCCCACAGGACTCTACTTCCCTTGTGGGATCCCATTCTCGGTATAGGAACCCCTTCTCCCACAGGAACCTCTCCTGGCAGCCTCTCCTCATGGTCCGTCCCACACCGAGGTCGGCCAGGTCCCTGAGCTTCCGCAAGGAGGGATCTTTCCTCAACTCGGCCTGGAACTCAGCGGCTGGGGAAGGGATGGGGACCGGTTCCCCCTCAGTGGCCAGGTCTGAGGCCTCAGCCTCTCTGAGCCGTGCCCCTCGGCCCTCCCTTCCCACCAGGGTAGGGTCCTGCGCCTCCGGTGCGGTACCCTCCCCGAGGTCAGGGAGCAGTGGCCCTCGCCGGCTCTGGCTACGGGTCACAACCAGGGCGGTCTGGGGCTTGCTTGGCCAGTCCTCTAGGTCTCCCCCCATCAAAACTTCAGTGAGCAAATGGTGGTGTACCCCCACATCCTTGGGGCCCTCCTTGGCCCCCCATTTCAGGTGTACCCTTGCCACGGGCACCTTAAATGGGGTCCCGCCCACTCCTGTCAGGGTCAGGTAGGTGTTGGGCACCACCCGATCTGGGGCCACCACCTCGGGCCGGGCCAGCGTCACCTCCGCGCCCGTATCCCAGTATCCATTGACCTTCCTCCCATCCACCTCCAGGGGAACAAGGCACTCTCTCCGGAGGGACAGCCCCGCGCCCACCCTGTAAACTG